TGTTTCTACAAGAAAGGCGATAGGCATATAGTTGTTTATAACACAGACACAAATTATTTGGTCAATTTAAATCAACATTGATGTTGTGATCTTACTTGGAAAAGGTGAGATTCTGATATCCAATATTTAAGACAGATAAACATTTTACCATTGGTACATGGATTGTGTACCATAATGAGTTTCAGTGCCATTTGTAACAAGGGACTTGAAGAACGACGCTAGACATATTTCACAAGTCACGTCAAACGGTAACGGCATATTCTTATCTGGAGAGCATGCGCAATAAATACTATCGGTGTAGACCGGAATAACCAGACGCTAGAGATTGCCATTCGATTGAGACTTCTGGCGTATTTCGCCGAACACGACTGATTTGAAATTAGAGTAAAAACGAAAACGATTGAATGTAAATCAGTTTATATATATGACATTATTATATGTGTTGCTGCCCATAATTGTGTCAATTTGTAGATCACAGATATTAGCGATTTAGCTCCTTTAAGATAGCCTATAATTCAAATATTTAATATTTCGTTCTACACTATGTGATACCTTCGATTTCTGTACCAATTCCATCATTTTTTCCACTTCTAACTGAAAGAAGAGAAATGGAAAGAAATACACTCTACAGTGTAACTTTATCTGAGAGCCGGTCATTATTTCTGATACAATGCACTTTGCATAGCCGATCGGTGAAGCAGAACACTCTTGTACGACATGTAACAATCGGTGAGTTATGTATGATGAACGATTACCTTGGTGACAAGATCTATTTGTATGTGGTTAAATGCTTACATGTAAATAATTAATAGACGCCATATTGTCAGCGAAGCTCCAACCGATTTCCTTGTTAATGACCACGTGACAAGTAACTTGTTGTCATAGAAAATATTATGCAAAACCATAGCGCTTTATGAATATTTGATGGGAGTAATTGCTTTAAAAGTATTACTCATTTTTACCTGCGAATATCATATGTTAGTCTCTAGATAATATATATAAAAAGCCCAGGCGTTTTGCATTTCACTGCAGCATGAACAATTAATATCTTATTTTCTTTGATCATCGAACGTAAATAATTAGAAACGATGTTTTTAGTTGTTATCTAATGTGCCAATTCGACCGTAGGCTTCCTATATGACAGCCATGGGCACACCGAGCAAGGAAAAGAATGGCAATGTGTACAAGAGTGAACCACAGCGCCGTTTTAAGGATGGGGTGGGTGGGGGGCTGCAGCCAGGGACCCCTGTTAATATTCAAATATCTATGGAGAGGATATAGAGTTGGCCGTTCTTGCTATAATAGTTAAAAAAGATGATGAAAAATGAATATATTGAAAATGGCAGTCAAAATTACTTTATTCTGAGCGTAGTTATGAGTCTTTGAAGCTTTAACAAGATTGTCTTGATTGAAGCAACATTGCTACGATAATAATCAAAAACTCGATTATCTATTTTAAGGTTATATTATTAAATGGCGAGAGGGTTCTAATCAATTCAACATCACGGCCATCCGATGATCTAGTGATTTGGTTATGAACTTGAAATCTCTAATTAATAATTTTGTACATTTAAAACCAAAGCTTTATTATGGGGCCAAATTAACCTAGGGTGAAAACATCTCCAATTTAAAACGTTTTTACTGAGTGAAAATCTATTCTGTGCCCATTCCATTTTATATGAACTATAAAACCAAAGCTTTATTATGGCATAAAATAAGCCAATTTAGACTAAAACTGCATTTATGGTTACAATGTGTCTAGTGCACGAATTATGCCCACTTACTTCCCTGTTTCAACTAACTTCACCAGGCCTCCTGTTTTAAACCAAACCGACTGGAAACATAGACAAACCTTGTCAGGGGTCACAGGGATGAAGGCTGGCAAAATATCTTGTCTCGGTCAAAACCGGGGACTCGAACATGGGTCCAATCTTGAGATGAGTATCGCAGTCACAATAGAGCGATATTCAAGGACAAACATAACTATCCGGCGCGTGTAGTATACATTGATTTTCTTTGTTTAAAATCGGGCCACTCTAGAACTTATTCTATTACTAGCTATGTTATCCAGTGTTGCACAGGGGTTTAGTTAATCTGCATTTTAGTAACATTGATAACAACGAGATAATCATGAATTGTCAATTTCCTCTTTTAAATACTGCACCAAATAAAAAATGTATAGCACCATTAAATATCTTGTAAAACAAGTTCAACTCCGTCTCGGACAGCCCATTGCCGAAATCAAAATATCGCCCTCGGTAATGGTTTTGGAATGTTCTTAAGAATGTCACTGTCAAGTTTCGCCCAGTTCCGATCGCAAACGGCCGAGAACGAAACTTAATATGAACTGTCCACAAGACGAGAGAAGGGAAGATCAATCTGATTAAAATACAGATCTATATTTCGTTTCGTTTTTTATACTTCCGATGGCCTCTACTACATGACGATCTGACCACTTGTAGTGGGAGGTCGTGTCAGGGGTCATAGAGCGACTTTTGACCCTTTGACGCCAGACATTTGATTAACCAATCAGCGTTGATGTTTCTAGTAGGATACCCACAGTTCCGTGCATCGCACGTCAAGAACTCGTTGCAACAGACCGTTTCATTGGCTAATCTCTCACGTCAACCAGAACGCGGGTATAGAAAATCTTCCAGATCCTAGTGCAGTGAAGACAAGTAAAATGAAATTTTGAACTATAAAAAACGAAACGATAATAGGATCTGTGTTTTGATAAGATTGAGGGAAGATGTGAAAGTCGTAAAATTAGTATTAAATTTGCTTTTTTCCGCTTCAATGGCGCATAAAGGGTGTGCAAGGTGGATAACTCACAACACCATTACATTTCACCACTTTGTTTGAAAGTCTTTGAATCTTTTTGCAAAACTCAAATTTTGTCAATTTTTTCTATTTTGATTTTGTATTATAAACATGTTACTAAAATAAATCAGAAGCTATGAAGAAAATAATTGTGCTGTTATATATACTCTTCAAAAAACGTAGGGGATACTAAAATGCAAATATCTATGCAGGTTGTGATATGATAAATAGTCATGGACACTTGACATGCATTGAGAGTATGTTCACAGATGAATAACTTATCGCCCCAACAGAACCATTTTCACATTTGACGGTGTATCTCTTTGCGAGTGACATGGGGCCGTCAGATAAGCCGCCCTTATGAACTGTTTATGTTCATGTGTAGGCAATTGGCCTGTTATTAACATGCACTGGTTTACCTCTAATAAAAACAGCATTGCATTTCCGCAGTTTTGTATTGTTTCTGAATATCCCCTACTTTTTTTTGAAGAGTATATATAAACTTTTAAATAGGAGGCAGACCATCAAAACGTTTGTACGAAAAGGTAATGGAAGGTCAATTTTTGAAACATATTCCAATATTTTGAATATTTTATGATGAGACCTGAAGATCTTTAAATCGTTTTGTGGAACTCAAATTTTGACAAATCAAGAAATAATCTTAAAAGTCTAGAACAAAAGCCAAATGGACCCGAGGTGCTTCCCTGTTTAGAAAACAGCACATAATTTTGAAGGGTCGCCATTTTTGTAGTTATATTTTTAAATTTTGTTTTTATTCTAAAAAATGTTGCTATTGAATAAATTGGAAGCTATGAAGAAAGGCATATTGTTGATATATTATGAACTTTTAAAACCATGGTAGTCCACCATTTTAATTCACCTTCTCGATTTTTATTTCGTCTATTACATGTATAATACCATTTTTTTCCCCTTTAGCATGGCAATTTCTGTTGATTTCGTAGGTTGATTTCGTAGGAGGGTTCGAATCAACATTTTCTGTCAGGTTTTTGTAAATATTTATGGTTTATAGGTGGAAGGATAACAGAGTTAGGACGTTTGTTACGGTGATAAGCTTACGCCGGATAATTACATTTACATGTTTTGTTGTTAATATGATATGCTACTTCAAGTTAGTGTGTTTCAAAATTTCAGTGGACAATCCCATACAAATTTTGGAACAAAGGCATGCCTAATTGTTGCCCTGACTAGTAAAAAGCTTCAGTCCAATGGAAATTTGGGAAAGGGTTGGAGCCGGGCAAAGACACCAGAGCTAAATTAGGAAATTAATGGTGGTCTGCCCATATATTATGGGCTAAGACTAGTAATTGATTCCCACGAAATATAGATCTGTATTTTAATCAGATTGGACCAAAAAGGAACACCTATTATTTTGAGACACATTTAACCAGACTGTCTACTGCTTTTGTATATTATTAATATACTTTCCGTTTTAATTTCACACTTTTAAGTATATATTATCATAAGTACTGTAGCCTACCATTTGTGTGGAGCAGTGGATTTTACCGGCTAAATAAAGGCGAACATGTTTTTAAAGTGAGAAGATGTCCGAAATTAAGATATTATTATATTTAATCATTTATATCTGATAAAATATGTTTTTATGAATACATAGCCGAGTGTAGAAAGCGCCAAAATTGGTATTATGGGCGACCACCTTCAAAATCACTAAATATTGCAATACATTACACGTGACAGAATTAGCATCGGTGGAATTATACATGTACAAGAATTAACAGAAATTAACCAAGGTATCAGACGTATATCATGATATTATATATTTTATCAGAAAATATCGTCTGAAGGGACCTGGTGTGCCTTTTTTATTGGTCAGTTATCGTTAAAGATGCATTTTATATCGGGGTTTGAATTTACATTTTATGTGCCCCTCCTTCGTGATTTTGTCCTGATAATTGTGACATGGTGGGCTTTTTGCTGATGTAATGATTATATTCCATGGATGGGCTGTTTAAAAAAAAACCCCAAAAACTAGACTCTTGCCCTTGTTTTTTTCTCAACTATTTTTGTAGAGCTAACTACCCGATAAATAATAACCATCCCTGATTTGTACGGTACCGTTGCTTAAAGTTTAAACGCTTTACAGTAGAAGGGAGATAATTACGTTCGTTTTATTTTTCGTCTGGATAATCGGATATTGATCACATGACCGAGAAAATGGCAGCTTCCTTGAATCTGTTTATTTACTTACAGATTCTGTATATTTTAATTACACCATGTTTTCCAGATTCTTTGCCACTCATTATTAATACATGGGGATTTACAAATGCCACTCAGAAAGGTAATATAGTTTTGCAGAAAAGCCGACTAATTAGAAACAAGTTTGATTGCCATTCGACCATACATAACAATTACTATTAGTTAGTAGTATTAGTAGGCCTAACTATAACTTAAGGCTATATTTATAGTATTACCAAATATCGTAGGCAACATTCAGCTGAATTGATTTTAATAAAAAATTAAAGAGGCATGCTTTGAAGTTTTAGTCGGTAGGTACCAAAACACTGTTCGAGACTCAAAATGTGAGAGAAAGGCATTTTAACTATGGTGTTGTAGCAAATGCTGTATATCCTATAGGTCAGTTTTTGGATTTCAATAATAACCTGTGGTAAATCTTATAATAACTGTTTGGTCCCTTCATTCAGTACTCCAAGATGTATTCATTTGAATGCAAAATACAAAATGCTAATGACAACTGACATCAAACACACACTAAACTACTAGTTTGGATTGAATATTTTTTTCTCTTCTGTGTAAGTTTTGACTCTTGTTCACAGCTCTTACATTTAAATTTTGAACTACCACCTTTCTCACTTGAAATAAGTTAATACCGTTCACTAAACATAATGATACATGTATAATACATTTTACAGTGATCATTTTTTTTTCTTACCATGTATTTAAAATGTATACAAAGTGATCTTTTTGCAATTTTCTGAACTAGTTCCATCACAAATTTTGTTTGCGCCAAAACCCTTTTAAAAAAATCACTGACTGAAAGATAAAACCTTTTTTTTTAAATGACTGTGATTGATATGTAGCAAATTTATTGATTTGCAGATGGTAGCTGAACAATACACAAAGATAACTTTTCAAAAATTAGTCAGAAATAAGAAGAAAAATCAAATTCAAATCAAACTAGTGGATGTTGGCCAGCCTGACTCTGGGTAAAATTTAATATTTGTGAAAGGTCTATAGTAAGGACATACATTGCAGTGACTGCTATTTACCAAGGGTTCATGTAAATATGGTTCAATTGTTCAGTAGTGTTTGGGACAGCGTACTATTATTTTTATGGTATTCATTTAATCAGGCAGCAGTATTATTGCCTACTTGATATATAAGAATAGCACAGATACTCTTTCTATTAATTTTATAGCATGGAGTATTATAAACAATGGTGGTAAAACAGCTATGGATGCTCTGGTTGCTGGATGTACAGAATGTGAGATATTACAATGTGACACAACTGTAGGGTATGGTGGCAGTCCGGATGAAATAGGGGAGACAACTCTTGATGCAATGGTGATGGATGGGTAAAGAAATTATCTACTGATATTAATCACTAGTATTCACTACTATTAAAATGATATACATATAGACCTACCTTGTTTACCAATACTATTTAGGAAATAGAATGCAGGTACCCAAAAACATTTTCGCCTAAACCAAATATTTATCGCCCTCTCAGCCAGCAACGTAACCATAATGCTTTGCACACTGTGTCTTGGTAGACAGCATGGCCACATGGTGTTTGTTATATTTTTTAGGGGTTTTAAAAATGGGTTAGGGTTAGGGTTGTGGACCCCCCCCAATATATATTTCACGGCTACGCCTCTGCTCTAACCGCATCCTCTCAAAAACATATTGAATCCATTAAATATTGCAAGTATCTGAAGGCATCGACAGTTAATTAATGTCTAATTAATAATTTAGATAACATTTCAGGCCTAAAGAAAGACCTGCATGTTTAATTATAGTTGTGAACTGTCTACTCTAAAGATGGTACGTAATTAAAATTCTTAATTATTAATGGAATATGTTTATTATAATTTAAGTAAAACACAAGATGTAGGATCTGTAGGAGATTTACGTGGTATAAAGAATGCTATTGGTGTAGCTAGAGCTGTCATGGAATATACCGAACATACTTTAATAGTTGGAGAATCAGGTTAGTACAAAGGGTTCTCTCTTTCAAATTCTACTGGTTTGTCAATTTCGGTGTATATCTTTCCATCTCAAAATAGCAAAAACTATGAATGTTAACCAGAATACTTTATTTAGAATGTAAAGTCAATTGCATTGCCAGTAAATTGTTTTTGCCCGTAAGTGTCTTTATTAGTGCTAGGAAACTAACATCCTCGCGTTCACAGGAATTTGCTCTCATCAATGAACTCAAATGCCAGTAAATTTAGGCTCAGTCCCAAAAAATTAAAAGCTTAATTACATTTTATACTTTGCTATCAGAAATGTTTTCTCGTCTGCTGCGCTCGATTCCATTATAGCACCATTCTTCCTCCACTCCTCTGTGGTCTTTTACTATCTCTATCATATTCGTATAGTGAACCGCCCAGTTAGTATTACCACTAGTGGGTGGGGCGACAGACTGTACAAATTATCTGTTAACTCTCACAAAAAAGGCGGAATTGACAGGCAGATCTCAAGATTCTGTCCCATTAACTCCCATTTCTGATTCTCTCTTCATAAGAATTTGCTTCCAGCAATGATCTCAAAAGCCAGGATATTGACTCAAATTTTCATAATCATCTCAGAGGGAGACCCCCCCCCCCCCAAGACCCTGCCCCCTTCAGTTTGCTCAGTGTTATAGTCACTTCTCTAAGGTTGACAAAAATCAATAACAAAATTAATAACAATCATAATATAACATAAACTTCATGTCAACTTGAATAAAACTGCTTTTCGGCGAGATAACGATCAACGAACAACTATTTTGGCAATACGATCTATCTTCTACACAGTATTTTGTTGACATTTATTGTGGGGTGGGATTGTGGATGGCGCCCAGATTTGTTAATATGTGCTTTTAGAACCATTTTTGTCTATTTCAAGGTTCCAATAAATAGAGCCAAACACCTTTTAAAGCACTTGATAACAATATCTGTGATTATTTGTCTTGAAATTTTAAGATGCCATTTTATTTCAGCATCAAAGTTTGCTGTAGAAATGGGATTTACCAATGAAAGTTTAACTACAAACACATCTATAGAAATGACTAAAAACTGGAAGAAAAATAACTGTCAGCCTAATTTTAGACAGGTAATTATTTTGCCTAATATTAACGACTTCAGAAATTACATTTCAAATCTGTTTTATATATTTTGAATTTTTTCTCAATCTGATTAAAACACAGATCCTATTTCGTTTCATTTTTATAGTTCAAAATTTTGGTTTACAAGTCTTCACAACACTACGATCTGGAAAAGTTGTTATATAACAGGCGTTCTGCTTGATGTGAGGAATAAGCCAATGAAACAGCCTGTTACGGCAAGTTTTTGGGGTGCTGTGCACGGAACCTGTGTAAACCACTAGAAATGTCAATGTTGATTGATTAATCAATGTCTGATGTCATAGGGTCAAAAGCTGCTCGTATGACCCCTGACCTGACCTCCCACTACAACTGGTCAGATCTTCATGTAGTAGAGGCCATCGAAATATAAATAAACGAAATGAAATATAGATCTGTGTTTTAATCAGACTGATTTTTTCTTTACTATCTCTTACAACCGCACTGGTTTTGTTTTAATAAGAAAAACCTCTTTGATATAGTTAAATGAAAATATGGTAAATTAAGCTCCAGAAATAAAGAAAAGAAAAGTACTGCGGGGATGTTTTTACCTACTCTCCATCGAATTCAAACTTAAAATGGTTCTTTTACATGAAATTAAATAGACCCTGCTAAAAATTCCTCAGGAAGTTTCTCAGCCAGCTATCCTGGGTTCTTTTACATGTACATGGCACCTTGTTTTTTTCCCCCCATCTGAACGATTAGACATGTTGTTTGCAAGGCCTTCTGTCCTGCACCGTTGACAAGAAGAAACGATACTGAAAAGTCCTGAGAAAGTTTCTCGGCTAACACCCTGATTGGATCAGGGACCAGTTGGTTAGTGATTCAGTGTCTTACTCACGTGGTCTTTGTGGCTTAATACCTGCATCCATTCAATTCATGCAAAATCTGTGTTATTTTGTGTTTCAGAATGTAGTACCTGATCCCAAGAAATCTTGTGGTCCTTATAAACCTATACAAAGTATATATAATACATATTCTAATAGTAGAATAGATAAAAATATAGGTAATACTAACCATGATACAATAGGAATGTTAATTATAGATAATAATAATAATATTGTAGCTGGTACATCAACTAATGGTGCTAATCATAAGATACCTGGGTAAGTACACATTATATATTTATATGTTTTTATAGTATATTGATAGGGTATATTTACATGAGGGGCAGCGAGCATTAGTTGGATAATGTGACAGCTCCTTAAAACAAATTCTAGTCTTCTTTTCTATTCACATAATGGTTGTTAAAGCAAAAAAATATTTGATAAAAATATCTCAATGAGACAGTTATATGGACTTTTTTCTGTTAGTTTTTGTGGACATTGTTCATCTTGTTCTTATCGATGGCTACCAGTTAATGAAATATGTTGGATTAGAAGAAACTGGTTTTTATTCTGTGATAATATGAACTGTCAAAGGAAAGTTTGCTGGAGACAATTTCCTTGTTTTGAACATCATTTTTACAATATAATTTTATTATGTGCTTGTTTTAGATATTAAACAGTATATTTGTATTGGTTTTTTAGACGTGTTGGTGATTCACCTATAGCCGGTGCAGGAGCATATGCTAGAAATAAAGTAGGTGGCGCTACTGCTACTGGTGATGGTGATGTAATGATGAGGTTCTTACCAAGGTGAGTGAACTCTGAGGTTATTGTCACTCCAAAACGATCCAGTTTGATAGAATTGCAATTGAATGACATAGAATTGAGTTTTTTCACAATTCTGTCATTTAAAGGACCTAAGTCCGTAACTCAAAATCCTCCAAAATCTTCGACATCGAAAACACGAATTATTGGTCAATTTAAATCAACATTGATGATGTAAACTTACCGGGAAAATATGAGCTTCTGATATCTGATATTTAAGATAAAATAATTTTTTTAACATTGGTACACGAATCGTGTACCATAATGCACTTCAGCCCCAGTTGTATTGAGAGACTCGAGGGACGAGGCTAGACATATTGCACCAAATCAAATGCAGTTATGTAGACTAGAATAACTAGATGCTAGAAATTTGCACTCGATTGAGATTGCTGACTTATTTCGCCGAACATAACTGATTTGAAATTGGAGTAAAAACGGAAACCATTAAATGTAAATCAGTTTATATACATTCATATTACAGTATTATATGCGTTGCGACCCACTTTTGTGAATTTCTAGGTCCCAAATGTTAGCGATTTAGCTCCTTTAAGATGAGTGGTGCGGTGCGATTAGATTCATTAGAATCCAGACGTAATCAGAGATGATGGCCCTCTGTATATGAGTAGAGCATGCTTTCACGGGTATCATAAGTATTGAGCTATAGTTAGAAACATGATCATCAATGACTGTGGAATTACAGACACATGTCTTAATCTTGCAAGAATAATTTTCCCATATTTAATTTTCTGCTATACTTTTGGGGAAAAATGCCTGTTTACATTTAAGATCAAAATCCTTGTTTTAAATAATTATGTATTCTATTTTCCTTTTTCAGTTTTAATGCTGTAATGTTGTTAGAATTAGGATACAGCCCAAAACAAGCTGCATTAAAAGCTTTAAATCCAATTATACAGTTTTATCCTTCATTTGTTGGAGCACTGATTGTTACAAATATTAATGGTTCTTTTGGTAGGTAGAATTATTTATAAATATATAAGCTTATATAAATTTTTATTTTATTGTGTAAAAGCCCTTTACGCCAACATAAAAAGCTAACAATTTACCAGAATAAAGTGAATGTTAAGATGGATATAAAACAGTCAGCTATGTGACACACAGAGAAACATTCAGTCATTCAGTGGCAAATGACATCAGGTGGTTTGGTAAGAGTAAGTGTACATGACATACATACAAAAGTATGGCATGAAAATTTTGTTCCTGTGATAATAGTTCCGTATGTGTGCAAAATATCTGTATACTGGTAAATGAAAACTTGAAAATGTTTGAAGGTTATTTTTGTATTAAAAATTAGCATGTTTTGATGTAAAGCATTAAGATTGCATTTACGAATGAAAACTTGAAAATGTTTCAAGGTAATTTTTGTATTAAAAATAAGCATGTTTTGATGTAAAGCATTAAGATGGATTTACGAAGCAAGAACTTCAGGTTTTTATACACCCGTACATTTTTAGCTTGCGATCGCTCTAGAGGTTACAACTTTTATCTGATTCAAAAAAACATTTAAACATATCGCCGTTACACTATAGTGACATTTGAGTTCGAATTAAGTACAAATCTGACCGAAACTGTACACAAATAGTATAAAAGTATGTAACAAAGAATGTGGATCCTCTAGAGGTTACAATTTTTATCCGATTTTGATGAAACTTAAAATATATGTTTATATCTCAAAGATACTACCATGTATCGGACTGTAACTTCCTGCATTATGGCCCCTGTTCTCCGTCAATCTCTTGCAAAATGTGTGCTATCTTGTTTGGCAAATGCTTGTATTCTATGAACTACTTTGTTTTCATGTGATGCAATGATGAAATAAAATATAGCAGCTTCCCCCTTCAATTCACTGGCTGCTATTTTTATCAAAGTTGCTGTAAATTTTTTAAAGTCAAACACATTCAATTGGAAATATTTTGGTAGGAAGTGTTTGACCCAAAGAAAATTTGTGAAAAGCTTAGAGCTAGTCAAAGAGACTAGAAATAACATTGGACATGTTTTGTTGACTTTTAGGTCTAGAATCACATTTTCTTTTATATTTTGGTGAATATTCATGATTTTGAGGTGGAAATAAATGAACATAAGTTTTAGAAATTGTACAAACATTACGTCACAGTCTATAGATTTCTTTGACTTCTTTGTGGTTATAAAGATTAGGAAGATCTGAATGTTAAAAAGCATGTTAAAATTCAAGAAATACCATTGAGAGAGAATTACTAGGATCCAGATGTTTAATGGAGTTACTTCCCATGAAGGGAAAAAATATCACGATGTTTTTATTTTTTGGGTTTTTTCATTATTTTATTCATTATAATGATTTTTTGTTATCTACTTTTGTAATTTCAGCTGCAGCATGTCATGGCCTACCAAATGGTTTTCCCTATTCTGTTAGAAATACTGATATGAAAGATGTTCAAATTATAACAGTTCCCTGTATTTAAATAACCTGTTTTACATCTAGGTTAGCATATGTCTATAAATTATAGACATATGTCATTTTAATATATTAAAATATGTATATATTCCCTTTATTTGTTATCCTTGAATTAACAGGGCGGGTTTGTTTATTGATTAGGTTGCTCCAACATTGAAACTTAAATAAATAGCCCATTTACCTTTTGCGGAAATTCAGTTAACGAAAAGCTCTTGAACGAGCTGCGTAACCCAAATAAACATTCTGGCCTATAGATTAAACCATAATAACACAGCGCAAAGCCTATGTGAATGATTATCCTACTGGCGCTGTTAGATAAGAAACTTGTCTCTAATCAATACCAAAGAGCTTCAGATATTAGATACGGGACTAGAATAGGCGTTTCTAAGAGTATTTATCACAGTATTTTATTATTTGTCACGCAGATATATGAGACGACACTTTTAAGATATCTCAAACACATACGCAAGGCAATTTGTCAGTCTGATATTTGTTTATAATTGGGTTGTACAAGATCTGAATGTCTGTATGGTTTTGTTATATTTTTGTTGTTGTACGGTATACCATATTATATCGTCACAACCTGGATCACGATGGTAATGCGAATATTTACTGCACATGCTGATCAGTTTGATATTAGCTTACAGCGACTTACCGTTTGGTCGTTTACTACTCTCATTCCGACAATACTGTTGTTTGTTAAATTATATTTTACATTTCAAACCTGAATTATTGTATTAAAAGTATATTCTCTCGAGTATAATTAAGTCAACTATTCGACCAAATTCTTACTAAAGTATATTTTTATAACCAGAAAAAAAATCGAATTACAGGTCCAAATAAATTCAAATAACGAATCCGGGACCATCGAGTCTGCCGTTGATATGTATTTGAGGGAGCCTCGGTGGCACAGTGATTAGGCGCTGGTTCACTAACCAGGAGTTCGATTCCGGTGTTGGCCGAGAAAGTTCCCCTGGATTTTTCAGCGTGGTTTCCCCTTGTCAGCGACGAGGGGCGGTTCCCCTGGGGAGGACAGTGTAAAATCATTCAGATGGAACCAAAACAAACGAGGTCCTGTGTACTATGTAGGAAACGGGTAAGAGAACCCTCGACAGTTGAAATTCAAAGTAAAAGTAGGCAATAGTATCGCCGCTGTCTGGGCAATATTTCCGTCATAGCACACTGTATGGCGTACGCCGGTCTTCATTAGCCCAATCGATATTAAGAAGTGGACGTTAAACCCCATTTCATTCAGATATCTATTCGCCTGTATTACTCACATGTTGTTCGGTAACATCCAGGTGAGAATGTCAATAGAACTCAAATTAGAGTCTCTCGAAAAATATAAAATTATATAAATATAAATACATGTATACCTGGTTGCTATAATAGGATGTGTTTTCCGGTCGGTGGTTATGTATTTAGGATAATATATACATGTATTTAAATCTTGTTTGTTTTTTTACGACATTTATTAGAACATAAATTCAATATTATATATAATTTGTTTTTTACCAATATTGTATCATAGGAATGACGGCAGTGTATTCATTTTGAGATATTAAACATTTATATTATATTTTCTGTATTTGATCGATTTATGATTTATTGTTATTCTCGGATTTCAAATTTATATGAATTGGCTACTTATACAGGGTATTACGCGAAGGCCTTGATAAGATGTACGTAATTAAAGCGAGATCAAGTCTTCTGTTGAAGATGCTGATGGAAGGGTATATTTATAAGAAGATATCCAATTTATTTTAAAGTTATTTCAGTAGAATATTTCATGAAAAGATTGTTTGTTTTTTTTGAATTAACATCCTTTTAAGTGGGCGAAATCAACCGTTTCTTTGATTTTATGTTTGAATTTTGTGTATTTTCGAACAAAGGCGATAAAATTTGCTTATCTTATATGATTATTATCTTGTTTATTGCCGTATCCATGTAGAAGAAGTGTACAGTTTGCGTTTTTAAGATCAACGTCTGTAAATTTTACCTTTATTTTGAAGTATTTGTACAAAATAAACTTTAACGGAAACACAAATTTCGAAATGTTTTAATTCACGGTATAATTACGTTGACGTCATGCTATTGTCTTTCGGTGACGTCCGCGCCAAACCTTTATAAACAGATAGCAACGTAATATAGTTTTTACTTGTACTTAGGTACTTCATAAAGGAAACTGCTGTTAGGGAATGTAAGTTTTATTTATCTTACTTTTGTTGTCGCGCGTTTTTGCTTCTATTTGAGAGATGAAATGAAATGGATTTTAACGTCCTACAGTTCTGCTCCAATGGGGCTAATGAAGACAGGCATACACTTTGCTATGGGCGGAATTGGGCCCAGGCAGCGGAGCTACGGCCTACTCTTATTTCGAAATCCATCTGCCAAGGGTTCGTTTACGTGCACGCGGTACCTCGTTTTTTGTCCCATCCGAACGACTATACGTTGTCGTTCGTCAGGCCCTCTACGCACCACCATTAACAAGGGAGAAGCACGCCGGGAAATCCTGAGCAAACTTCTTACTCACTGAGCCACCGCGGTTCCATTTGAGGGATGGAAAGTAGCATATCCTTAAAGAAAATGTACTTCAGATGGTAATGTATTGGTATTCTGGTTATTAAACAACCGTTAATGTTATTTCGCTTGTCTCAATTTATCCTTTCTAGAATTAACTAAATATTTAGTTATTTTGATAATCTACTTCCATGTTGTTACAGTTGTAATACTTGTTTTGAATGCAAAGATCTAAGAACAAACTTTGTTTAATTTTTCTTAACGTTTATCCTCTAATTATTTTATTTCAAAATGTTTTTGCTATTAAAAATAACTCATTAATTTAAACTAAAACTAATATTGATGAAGTGAGAATCAATAACACCCTAAGCCAGGGGAGTCAAACATGCGGCCCGCCAAGGTTTTAAATGAGGCCCGAGGAACAAATTTCAACAAACTGATGTGTCGATAATTCTTAGGAATACTTGGAAATCATTTATTATTGTTTTCCGGTTCTGTACTGTATGCCACAGACATATAAGTTGTATGTAATATACTATTAAAAAAAAGTAGGGGATATTTGATTTTTAAGTGTTATTAAAGTCACCTAATGAAACTGACGAAGAAACAAATGACAAAATGAAATGAAGTTCACATTCATCGATTTATTCCAAATGATCGTTAGACTAAGTAAGGCACAGACTGACCATTATAAGGGTAAAATGATACCCGGGGTCAAACAGCAAAGTTACCACAGCATCACAAACAAGTCAGTAACGGGTAAATCCTACTCTGTTTGCCAAACAAGCATTGATCCGACGTGGCATACTCCTAATGAGACGTCTATGGTCATTTTGGTCCAGATTGTCCCATTCCTGTTGCAACGCAGCAGCAAGTTCTTGGACATTGGCAGGACGTTGTTGACGTTGACGTAACCTCTGTCCAAGCATGTCCCAGACATGCTCGATGGGGGAGAGGTCGGGACTCAGTGCTGGCCAAGGTAATGTGGTGATGTTCTGTTGTTGGAGGTAACCTGTAACGATTCTGGCCCTGTGACATCTTGCGTTGTCATCCTGGAAGATGAAACGGCGGCCATGACGTCGTGCGAACGGCACAACATGGACTGCCAAGATGTTGTCCCTGTAGTACTGGCCTGTAACACGCCCTGCAACAACATGTAAAGCCGTTCTTCCAGCAACAGTGATGCCTCCCCACACCATAACAGAACCACCCCCAAATCGATCATGTCTGATGACGTTAACGTCTTGGAAGCGCTCGTTTCGACGACGCCACACCCTCCTACGTCTGTCCAAAAAATCAACAGTGAACCTTGACTCATCTGAAAACATCACATTGCTCCAGCGTCGATTATCCCAGTGTTGACGATCCCTACACCAACGACGTCTTGCCCGAATGTGATGATCTCTCAAACAAGGGATCACGCGAGGACGTCGGGCGCGAAGGTGACCCCTATGCAGTCGATTCCGAATCGTCTGGCCACTCACTCTCACACCAGTGTCTGTTTGAAGACGAGCGCTGATCTGATTTGCGGTGATGACACGATTTCTCAAGGCCAAGGTACGGATAAATCGATCCTGGGCTTGAGTTGTCGCCCTTGGTCGACCTGAGCGTGGTCTGTCCTGTACAGATTGTGTATCACGGTATCTGGACCATAGCCTGCTTATGACAGACTGAGAAACATTCATCGTCCGCGCCACAACCGCCTGTGTTGTGCCGATCTGTAGCATGCCAAGGGCACGTAACCTTTCATTTTGGGTAAGCCGACGCATATCAAAATTTGTTTTCTGGTCACTAAAACAATTAAACTGATGTTTCCACCCTGGAATTCAATGCCACAATGACTGTAACATTCAAAGTCAGAGTCGTGCAAATCTTGGGTTGGACCCCCATGATGATCCCAAGCATCACCTGCATTCCATGCGGTAGCTATTGGTGCGTTTGGGCGTCACATGTAACTGGAAATGTTTCTTCTGTTAGGTTCTATAGTGACTTTTTTCGTAGTCATTTGCATATTTTAGTATTATGCCCCCAAAATCAAATATCCCCTACTTTTTTTGAATAGTATATAAGAGAATGTTTACTGCAATATTATATGTTAGCAATTTGGAAACCAGTCGAAAAAATTACGCCTGTGTTAAGGTCGTTTGACTTTGTTTTTAGAATTCGGTAAAGTTCCGGGGGGGGGGGGCGAATGATTAGCACGTGGGCGTTGTATCATTAGGTCTGTCATTGAGTCAACTGGCGTGGTTTCGATTCCCCGGTTGAACGTGGCAAGGAGTAGGGTCGCCTGTCCAACCTCGTAGGTTTTCTCCAGGTCCTCCGGTTTCCTCCCACTGCTAAAGACCCCTACGCGCAAGCGAATTATTGAAATAAAATTCAACCATATGTTAGTCCCGAAATGACCAAGTTTGCGTCGAGTCGATGATGTTAAACTCTCTCTCTCTCTCTCTCTCTCTCTCTCTCTCTCTCTCACTAAAGTTCAAGGACGTTTGGCTAACAAATAACAAAACATAATGCACCTGGAATATGATTTTTAGCATAGTAATCTACATGACGTATTGGCTTTCGTACCCCAATATACTGCGCATTTAAAGCTACAATTTCATATTTTCTAAGAAAGTCAAAACATAATCATTTCTAAGTCTTTTGCTCAATAGGTTGTCAACTCACTATTATACGATCATAGATATCATTCTCACAATCAAAAATATTTCACACCGGAAATAATAACACAATTACCTCCTAATAATTACCTCCCTTGTTTTTCTATTCCCTACCATGGAATAGCTATCTTCAAACGTTTGAATTTGAAGTTGAAAATGATATTTTTGCCAATTTCTCAACTGGCAATAGTGAATTATAGGATTAATAGGATTATTCTTTATCAAGTTAGGACTGTTTATACATAGCATCGATTTTAAGGCTTTATTTTAATACATTTTAAAAATATGAAATTGTAGCTTTAAATATGTTAGGGTTTCTCACTGTGTCTAATGGGATTTCAATGGATGGAAAAACAAAATTAAAGAATCGATTTAAAAATATAATCTCCATTATAATATTTTTATGAACCACTTTTGATACCATATCCAATAAATCTTTATTGAACTTTTGTAAGACAGCAAGTGTTCAGCCAATGCTCAGAGCGTATGCAATACTATAGTTCCATGGTTTATTCTGTTTTATTTTTTTTTACAAAGATGGCACCAAAGGTCGCGACCTGGATATTTACCACTTTATAATGTAACGGACGATTGCGAAACCTAAAAGAGCTTTACTTTAGGGATCGATATTTGACACCGGCTAGACTAAAATTCCCCCCCCCCCCCCACACACAGGGTATTTAAGATGCAGTCGCAGGCTGTCCGTCGATACCAAGTGGTTTATAATGGTACTTCTCACATCGATCAAATGATAGTTAAAAAAATTCTATCGTGCTATCGTCTAATTTCTAACTTCTATTCATGTAATTTTTAATTTCTGTTCATGTAATTTCTAACTTCTATTCATGTAAATTAAATTAAAATAGTGTATATTCAAACTTCTTTATTTGTTCAGTGTAAATTTTAATTCAATGTTATATTTATATCACGGCTTTCATGAGTTAACAGGTTTGCGTAAACCAGCAAAAGTGTGCAATAATAGACCAGAAGCCCAGGAGACCAACCTAGCTGAAAAGTGTACCAATGTTTTCCTATATGTTATCAATGCATGTATATCTGGTATCATCAGAATGTAAGTCTGCCGGGTTTCTGGTGGTGGGTGTGGTATTCCACGCCCAAAATGCCATGCACCCCAACTAGGCTAGATTAGCTCAAAAGTGTACCACCTGAAAATAGTACAGCAGTGTACCGTACATCTTCAGGTGTTACAAAAACACTCCAACAGACATTTCTAGTGGTGGGTTACCCCTGACAGAGCTATGTAATTGTCAGACATTTGTAGTGGTAGAGTATCCCTGACAAGAGTTATCTAATTTCCAGTCCACAGCTAGGCTAGATTAGTTGAAATCTGTACCCCCTAAAACAGCTTTGGAGTTGTTCAGTACCACCACAGGAA